GCAGCAACTATTTCACACCAGAGGTATTGCACAGTATCATACGAAACTGAAGGCGCTCTAATATATTAGTAATAGCAGGCATCCATCAAAAGTACAGAGTTTTCCTCGCAAAATAAATCAAGATACAACGGCCCAAAAAGAGAGCAGTATTCCAAAAACTCACTAAGTCCTAGCATCCGTAATTAGTAACGTTTAGTATACACATTATCGCCTGGCTGTTGCTTAATCGCCATCGGCTATAAAAGGCTATAAAAAATTGTGTAACCGGCTATAGAAGCTACTGGAAATCTTACAGCCGGCTGTAGGTCTATGGTATTTTGGAACACAGATTCTACCGCCAATTTTTACCAGGGCGGTACATACGAAATTAACCTTCACAATGGAAAATGTCCGCGCAAATTTCGTATTACCTCATCTAAGACTACATAAAGAGATGATTTCAAATATTTCACGAACATTTTCAATAATTCGTATTCTTCATTTCACCCGTGCCCGTTGGGGAAGGCGAGGATGATCGATTATCGATATTTTCCCATTTGCCGCTATGGTAAAGATTCGATTATTATGCGGACACCCTGTTTTTTTATCCTTTTCCGTAGGTTAAAATGGCAGATAAATCGATTTATCGCAAAGCAGGCGACGCCTGTTACTCCCTATCGCCGAAAGCGGACTTCGCGTTTCCGTAAAATAATCGAATTCCACGGGAAACAACGCACTCAAAATATCGGTGAATGAACACATGCGTTACGTAACCCCTTCGTATTTTTAAAGTGTCCACGCGGTCATTAAAGATTGTATCACACGAGTGACAGTAAAACACCGAGAGCTCTGGACAGATGTGCGCGTGGTGCGTGGTTTTGTTGATTCGAACTGTTCAAGGCGAATGACAAAGGAAATCCTTGATCGGATTTTGATAAGCCCAGACAGGACCCGTCGACAGCATCCGTCGTAAATCGTCGCCCTCTTACTTTCTCTCAGACCGTTCCTTCTATCAAATACAACTGAGACACTGATCGTGGAATTGCTCTCTAAAAAAGAGGGTCTAAAATCGTATATAAAAAATTCAATCTTTACACGAACTTTCACTGAAAAAAAAATCTCGGTGTATTTAATAAGAAAAGGGTAAAATTACCAAGAATTCAGGGTTCTATTTGATCCCAGTTTTTTCTTGGTAAAATTACCATTAATGGAATTGGTAATTTTACCGGGGAATCTCGGTAAAATCATTGAACTTTCCCGGTAATTTTACTGGACCTTAGTAAAAACGCCAATATTTTTTATCAACTGTGGTAAAATTACCGAGATAAAATGGCTAAGTTACCGGGGATTGATTACCAATAAAAGTGGTATTCTTACCTGAAAAAACAGTAAAAATACCGGTTTTTAGGTAAGCTTACCAGTCTGTCTTGGTAAAATTACCAATAATTGGTAAACAAAAGTGACATGGTAAAGGTACCAACGGACCTTGGTAAAAACGCCGAGAATTTTATTTCAGTGCAAAATCCCCTCTATCAAAACCATTTTCTATCAAAAACTCGAGAGCCTTTGAGACTCGCGGAGGTGGTCGAAACGATTTCACACTAAGTGATATTATAAATTTAGAATATTCTGTAATATAATATAAATAAAGCATGAGGTGGCAACCGGGCTGTTCTTAAGGATTGTGTCACTCGACTTATTTACATATCGCTGCGCAGCGTAAAATACTTGGCTCCGTGTGGTCTTGGAATTCGGATTCTGCGTTGATTGGTACTCAGAATGTTGCCATATCGACAATATTTGCCCGAAAATTAAAGCTGCTGTTTTGTTTACGCCAAATTGGTGCAAGAAAACAAATAAGCAAACTATAAATAAACCAGTATGTGGCCAATGTCAAGGAAAGTCGGAGACAGAGTGTTTTGAGCGCCTCACGTCGATAAGGTCCAGTTACACGATCAAATTGAGCCATCAAATTGGGCTTCTCATTGGTCGCATTCAGAATGCGACCAATGAGAGCCCCAATTTGATGGCTCAATTCGATCGTGTAACTAGACCTATTTTCCCACGTTTTAAGTTTCCAGAAATCAATGCTGGAGTAATCGATGATGAATACTCATCATGTCACCCACACACCACCGTGGCAAACACCGAGCACCGTGGTGTCGTGCATTAACAAGTGGACCTATTTCTACCAAACGGAAATATGTGCATTAAGACATGAGCCCTGAGACTCATACGAGTATATGCCTAACAAGACTCACGTCATAATGCACATGGTTCCGTTTGGCAGAGATGCGTCCAAGTCAACATATTATTACTCATCTTCGACATTGAGTTTTCTCTCTCTTCTTGAGGAGCTGGTATCAGAGACAGTATATTTTAGAGATCCCACCTTATCAATCAAAGCAGTAAAATTGGTTTTGACAAAAGTTATAGTCGAAGACCAACGCTACTTTTCACCTATTGATGATTGATGAGCAACTTAGTGAGCCAAAAATTCGTCAGTTGATGAATGATGAATGTCGAGGGGGCCCACATAGCTAGGCGAGTTTTTGAGAAGTAAGTATTAGGATTGCTAAAAGCAGTCGCTCAACTTTTCCCGAGGCATATCAGAGGGTTAACTTTTGGAAATAACTTTTACGATGTTCAGAAAATAGCACCACCGGGTCTCTAAAATATGTTGTCTCCGACTGGAATTCTTCCAACTTCCTTTCTTTGTCGGTCACCCACGTCAGACACCTATATCGTAGAGACCCCTTATTTCTAAGCGCTGGACGTAGTTTATCAAAGTCTCTGGAGTGGTTAAGATCAAAAGTAAAAAATTCCAGTTTGCTTCTACTAGAAACCGACGTAGTGGTGATAAAATTATCATACGCCGGCAAAAAATTGAACATATTAGAGCGGGTCTCATCGAATTTTGGGGAATCATCCAAAAAATCTGGAAAATTTAAGTTGGGAAGCGGGAAAAGTTGTACTTCCATCATCCCAGACAGACGCTTGCCGTATATTTTAGGGGTTATAACGTTCCTAAATTTAATGGCATCAAAACTACACAAAAATAGCCCAAATAATTTGACTAAAAACAAAATAAAATTGGTAACTAAGGCTTAAAAACAACAAACACAACGCCTGGGACGTCTCGGGGCGGTTTCGGTTGAAAACCTCCTAAAAAACACAAAAAACCTTTGTTGTATACCTATCGGATCTCTGTCATAGAGCCTCTATGATAACCTCTCCTCATTGTGTTATGATGAAGGAGGGTCTAAGAGTCTAGATTCTTATAATTTTAAAATATATTTTTCATTTCCTGATCAAAGAGGAGGTTGGAACCATCCCGAAACGATCCAAGCTTTGTGATTGTTGTTTTTTGGCTTGGTTACCTGTTTTCTTGGTTTTTTCGTTTAATGAAATCTTTCTGAGGCGTCCAATTGTTTTTGCCAAGAGGTCAAAAACAGTGAAACTCGACAGTATTGCAACGTGGGTCTCGCCTTAAGGCCAGACTTGGAGTGTGGTTGAGTGTTGTCTCTCCATCTTTCCAGCCCGGTGTTGCGGTGCAAGCGCAGTGTAACGTCCGCTCCGCTTACAAAACAAACCACCGGCAGGAAAGTAGGGAATCCGAACCACAGAACTTTCAATCGTCCAAGTGTAGCCATGCGCTTCATTATCGCTGCAATGATAAAACGATGCTGATTAAAATCCAACAACTTGCGCTTTGATTTTAAAGGGCTTTAAGAGCTTTGCGTGAATTGTGTAACACAAATCACGCAAATTGCATGCAAGTTATTACCTTTCATTACTTGTGAGGACTTTTCTCACACTTGTCTACCTATCTTGGCGTTGAGACAATTTTTGTTAAGCCAAGAAATTTGACGTCCAAATATACACATGGAAGGATTTTGATTTTATTTATTTACTTATTTTCTGTTAAGCTTAAAAGGGACCCAGCTTCAGTTTGGTAGTCATTAAATGGATATTGTTCATTTTTTTTACAAAATACCTATTAAAACTAGTTACTTTGTAAAATAAGAGAGAGGGAGAAAAAATAAGGATTTAAACTAATAGATTATATTGATGAAGGATGATTCTTAAATTATTGATATTACCCAACTACGCAGCAAATTGTATGGCTTTATCCTATTTTGTGACGTCGAATATGATGTCATTTTCCGACTCCCATGATCTGACGCTCTCTTTCATTGCGGACCCGATCTCTCTTAAAAATTCCTGCAGACCTCCTCCAGAAATTCATCCCCGTTGCCCTTAGCATCCCCTGTGTCCGCTATTCCTTCAGCTGCCAAACTTTACATCCATACGTAAGAATACGTTTAACTACAACGTTGTAAATTCTCCTCTTGTTCTCCTCTAATTTTTCCCTGGGACAAATCCCATGAAACGTCCCGTGGAGACAAACCTTAAGGCTTCAATGGACCACTAGACAAGGTACGAATTTAAGCGATCTGATACATGTTTCTTAGCCAGAATTTCACGTAGAAAACGATTCACACAACGAAAATTACGGAAACCAACTCCTAACGAAGATATCAACGTTTTTATTGCACATTGGTTACGAGGAATTTGAACTGCCCGCTCACAAGAAACTCAAAACTCTACGTGAGTCAAATCGCCCACTACAACGGTTTCAGCAAGCTTCTCAACCGAGCAATGTTCATTTCCCGCCATGTATTTTTCAAACTATAAGCAATTTGCTATAGCTGAGCCAAAGCGTCAAGATTGAGGTTGCCAGATTTTTATATCGCAGAGACTGTCATGATAACGTTTACCGCGCGATGTGAATCACGTAGAGCATTGTGTTTTCATGAGCGGGTGGTTGGAATTCACGCATTAAGAATCATTAAATATCTTCGTAAGGAGTTAATTTCGGTAATTTTCGTTGTGTGCATCGTGTTTTACGTAAAATTTTGGTTAAGAAACATGTATCAGAATGCTGAAATTTGTACCTTATCTAGTGGTCCATTCACCTCAGATGATGGACTAACGTGGTTGATTTTGGCCTGTTTCAGCTTCGGCGACGACCCTGGAGCGATCGAAGAGGCAGAGCAACAGCATCGGCAAGCAGAGCCAGCAGAGCAACGACGAAGATGCAACAGACACCGATGATCCTTCCATCGATGAGCTCTGCGCCAACAGGCCGCCGGATGAGTACTTCAGACTCACCACCGAGGGAGACTGCAGAGATGTGGTCAGGTAATATCACTATAACCCTACTCACAGTTTCATATATAAACTGAGACATATTTCGCCAGCATAACTCATCAATGAAGAACATATTTAGAGACAGCACCATTAGCTATCTATCCATTTTCTTGATACTTCAAAGGAATTATTCCTGTATTTTCTGTATTCCCAAGAACAAATCTGTCGTGCTAGTGAAAAACGCAGTATGAACATTCGAAATTTGCCGAATTTCTTTGGATAAAATGTTTATTTTTCGGGAAGATTATGGATATTCTCCCTTGAAATTTTCAGACACTTTAGATCGAATTACAAACAAAATTATCTGAGACACTGACAGAAGAATATTCAAAAATTATCCTGAAAATTAGTGATTTGCCAGAGGAAACTTGGCAACGCCTAGAGGCTCATACGGCGTTTTTCCCTAGCTCGGCAGAAATGTAGCGTCACAGAAATATAGTTGAAAATTTGCAATTGAATCCCAAGACACTTATCGTAGGATTCTCTGAAATTTTCTAAGGAGTTCTATGAAAATATTCGTTTCTTTCATGGATCTTGCGAAAAATCATTTGGACTTAATTTTGCACAAATTAACTACTATCCCTTGCTTTATACAAAATAAGCATCTTTTTGCGCAGGAGAACTAACAGTGCATACCTATTTTGTCTCCAAATTGAGCCAAAAATAGTATTTAATTTTCGCAAAATGTAGCAAGGAACTCTGCGGACCCCTTTAAATTTCCCCAAACGGAAAAAACTTCAATTACAAGGACCTAGCTTCGGTTCGTATGGAATACCAAAATTTCATATCTACAGAACGTAATTTCCTCATCATAGGCACCTAACTTAGGCTGATATGACCAAAATATATGATGAATAATACGATTCTGTGCATAACTCCCAAAGATTTTGGTTATCAGAGATTGGTTCTAGTGACAATGAGAAACATCGGTGGGCTGAAACGAAAACTTCACTTTTCCACATAAATCAAAGTTGTTCTCCCTCCGCGTAAATTTTGAGTGGCTCTGGGAACGGATCCTAATAAGTGACTTTCCTTGGCTAATCGGCAACCTTAAGTCACTGCTTCTTAACAACCGAAGCAAAGAACCGATTATTGAACTCTTCAACATCGACCTTGATCGGTAAATTACGCATCTACCGATCAGATTAATCGGATTACCGATTTGAATTCGAAAATCGGCCCTGCAGTGACAAACAGAGCAACCACTCAAGAGCAATCAGCCGATATGATCTTTTTACCTGTCTCTGCAGGTGTCCTACCAACCCACAGGGTAGGAGTCGTCAGAAGTAATGTACATGTTCACTTTGAGCTCTTGAAAGGTTTTCAATCCGACTGTGGTGGGGTAATTAGGGGTGATAGATCTCAAATTATTAATCCCGCTTACAAGAAAAATGTATGACTTTTCAGGGAATTTTGGCGACTTCTCTTCAATTTAAAATGTGACAAAAATATACCAGATTAAAAACCTTTGTTAGCACTCAGTCATCTAATATAGTATGAGCTAAGCCGGTTGCACAAGCCACGTTGGTGGAATTTAAAATCAGGATTAGGGTAAATATGTAATTATGCTCTCCTTGTGAAGATTGCCGATAAAAATGCGATATACATATCTCTGAATTCGTTTTCAAGACAGGCTCTTTTTAGGGATACACTTGGCGAAGAGAGATTCTAGAAATTAGAACTTGATTAGGATTTATTGACGATTTCATTTATGTTGTCAGAAAAAGCTTTGCGTGAACCATGTTGGAGACTTTAACGAAGAAGTAGGAAAATAGGCAAAATTCTTACAGGAATAAATACTCAAACTTACCGGTTCTGGGGTACCCAAAAATCGTTAAATTTCAGGATTGTGCAAAAAAAAACAAAAATGCGGTCGACTTCTTGTTTTATTATCTTGAGGGCTGATGATTGAAATTTATGGACAAAGCAATAGACAAAAAAAGAAAATAAAGCGCTCCTATCATTAAAAGCGAGTGGTTGCAATGGACAAAGGAAAAAAATTATAGACGAGCTGACGTTTATGTAATAACGTTTATATATGTACGTTCATGCTCTGATGATGGGCGCGGGTTGCCAAAGAAGCTTCGGCAACAGTATATAAGAAATAAATACAACCAATACACCTTTTTTTATTTTTAATATTATTCATAGATGTTATTCCTCAAAGCATGTTTCAATAACGAACGGCAACTCACGAGGAGCTTTTCCTGTTGCGGTTGGCGAGAGTCATCTTCGTCTATAGTTTTATCTATCAATTTTAATAACTAGCCAACAGGACCTGATATATCTTGACACTATTTGAATCGGGAAGTGCGAATACCGCTAATGTCTATTTTTCCAGTCTTAAGTTTTGTTGAGTTCATAATACTTTTTAAAAAGTTGATACAACCATAAAAGTGACGAAAGAACTCGTTTTGGGATTAAGGAAACCCAAAGACGAGTTTTAAAGCCACTTTTCAGATTGCAACCAACACCGAGAGGTATTTTAAACTCAAAAACACTTAAGACTGGAAAAATGGACATTATCGGTGTTCGCACGTCCCGCTTCGTTTGGATTGCATTTTGCAATAAGGAACCACTATCTCTAGCTCTTTCATAAATACACATATCCATATCCGCATAGGGAAACCAATGGCATATATGTTGTTTCTAAATTCTAGAATAGTGATTCCCAGATAAAACAGAAATATTTAGCCAATATTTAAACAATATTGTTTTGATATTAATGCAAACATTGGGCCAATACTAAAAAGCCAATGATAAAAGTGTACACCATTTTTCCTTTTGGCATAAATACTGTGCCAATACTTTAGAATACTGTGAAATACTGTGTCAATACTGTGAAAATATTTTTATAATATTTTGGGTAAACATATTATTTTTAAAAATACTAAATAAAGATTCTTTAAATATTTTTTAAAAAAATAATTTTGATTAAAATATTATCAAAATATTGTTAGTACTGTGTAAATATTGCGACAATACTGACAATATGTGCCCAATATTGTAAAAATATAATGTCTTATCTGGGTTCCTTATTGCAAAACGTAATCCATTCATAAAAGAACTCGATTCAGGTAAAGAGCTAATTCGATGGAAGTAGCCATGATGACGTGGATAGATTACTGGACTCGGGAGTACTGGTTTTGACCCTGTTTATCACTCTGAAATGTTATGCTAGGTGTGACCAGGCAGGCGAGAACGGCGTCACCCGGCTAGCCGGCGTGCGGTGTCCGAACGGGCTCGCTTTCGATATAGATCGACAAACGTGCGATTGGAAAACGCATGTAAAAAATTGTGATAAATTAGAAAGTAAGTAGTGCTTGAATTCAAACGCAGTAAGATAACTCCGCCCGACCATTGTTATTCCCGCTTCGAGACTGGTACCAACTTGAGCATTGTCTGATTTTCAACCTAACCTCAATGAGAGCCTCTTCTCACTCTGTCTGTCTTCGTTCGTCTTTCCCTCTCAAAGTCCGCCATTAATCAAACACCTCGATAAACTCGCTTTAATCACCCACATCATACACTGCCGTGCTATAAGCAAGAACGCCATAGAGAAAAAAAAGGTGTTTGCGTTTCGGGCATCTTGGATGACGTAGGTCGGTACAACAAGTTTATCATCGGTTTTCTTGAAAATGGTGTAATTTATGAAAAAAAGTCATTCAACAAAAAGTGCTTGAAATTAAATCACGAGTTGATTTAAGTAAAAAAATCGGACATTATGGTCCGTTTTTCATACTTCGAATTCCGGATTTCGCTGGCCAGGTTGTACCGACCTTCGTCACAGGGTGAACAAACCTCAAGATGCAAATACCTCTTTTTTTTCTCTATGCAAGAACGCCGTAAATTCATCAAGATTTTCCCGAGTTTTTTGGAACTTAGTACTTTATAAAATAAAAACCATTTTACCCATGGTTTTACTCAAAGTTTCAGGTTAAGTTCTTGACAGTATTTTCAAAAAATTTCTGTAAAAAAATTGTCCCAAGGTACCAAGTTTTTCTGCTATGAAACATTGTTTCCAAAAAAATTTAAAATGGCGTCTACGGCGTTTTTGCATTGCACGGCAGTACACGACGACTTCTGTTCACCTTTCGAGCGTTCGTCGTAGCACAACCGATGCGATCATGATTTGCTGATTAAATTGATCCAAGGCTAAAATTTCGAATTGCTGTTTGAGTTTGGACGAGTTAAATATTCTAAAAATACTTAAATTTTCATGAAATATTCCCCAAAATCCATTCGAGGTATCTGAGATTTTCTGAGTTTTTACCGCCGCGAATAAAATTTGCATTCTCAATATCTGAAAATTTTAAGATTTCTCTTGTCTGACCTAAAAATCGGGTAGAAAGGTAAATGAATGTCTAAGATTTGAGCAAAATCATTTCAATTGATTTCGACCTGATTAATATGACTCCATCAATCTGTAATTTATCGATCACGGATCTTCCAATATGCGCGTATTTCAGGAATCAGATTACGTTTAGACCGTGTTACTCTCTACTTGTAACCTCTGTGATCCCATTACAACAAACAAAATATATTTCATATCTTACAGAATATACTTATATTTGTATAGAGTCTGAATTGAATTTTTTTTTTTTTTTTTTTTTTTTTTTTTTTTCAAAAATTGACGTAAATTATGACGTGCGTCCCTCGCGCGAGATCCAAGCTTAACAAAAAAGTTCAGATTTTGAAGTAAATAAAATAAACTGACAATAATAACATCCGACTCCCACGAATTAAACTCTCAATAATTTCCTATCTCCTTAATCCAAAAAAGCACATTTCAAGAGATCAGGGGTCAACATGCCTTTTTGGATTGTAATCTCACTGTGAAGCCCTCCTCTCAAGAATATTCCCTCTTGAAGTCCAGTATTTTTAAGTTATTCAGGACGAACGCTTTAACTCATCTTCAATTCCTGTCTAACCTCTTCAAACTCTGTGCAAACATCCGAGTAACAATGGTTCAGCGAGGAGACGTCTTACTGGCCTTCTCTGTCTATTTGAATGCTCCATGTTGACTTTTTTCCCTCAGGTGTACTAAAGCTGGCATAAAACAAATTTCTTGTCCTTCTGGACTCGCTTTCGACATTGAAAAACAGACGTGTGATTGGAAGGGTAAAGTGAACAACTGTAACCGACTGGACAGTAAGTGACACCACTTCAAGTTGGGGGGTGGATGCCAAGAGCGGTAAACGAGTAGAATCGTAGAGTTTTACAACTCCCTTGTAGCACTGATTCTTCAAATGGAATTTAGAAGAAAGCACCAAAGTTATTGTAAAAACTTCATAGACTTTGAGAGTTGATATATTAAGGATAGGAATAAGAATTTTACAAATGGTAACTATGCACTGGAAAAAAAACACATTGGATCTAGAGTCCACACTCCCAATAACATCGACAAGAAAAAAATACTCTTGATTCAATCAGATTTAAGCTTAAATCAAGAACCAAGCCTCTTAATTTGAGCGGATTTCCTGTTGATTTAAGCTTAAATCTGATTGAATCAAGAGTCTTTTTTCTTTTCAATGTTTTCAAGAGTCTGAACTCTAGATCCAATGTATTTTTTTTTCCAGTGTGGAGCAGATTTAGAGCCAGAGTCAAGTAAAAAATTTCACATTAACAATGTAGATTTTTCACTTAGGTACAATTTTAAATTAAATATTTGAATAAACATGAATGAGTTCATTAAATAAGAAAATTCTGAAAAGCTCTCCGACCCACTCTCTTGAATGACCATTTTACTAGAAATGTATTAACTCTTGAAAGCTATGTGTTTTTACAAGATGGTTCTTAGAGTCAGGTTACAAGGATGTAGATTTTTGTAGAGCGTAGAATGTAGTCGTCATTTTCTTTTGTAAAGAACTTGCTTCGTAGTATCTCGCCGACCTGCATGTGTAGATTTCGTCCCAGTTTCATCCGTTGAGTGAAGTAAGCCAAAAAAAGCTATATTTCTGGTGAAAAAACACTTGATTGTGATTAATTTTTCTTACCTTTTTTTATCGAAATCACATTGTTTAGTAAAATATGTTTGAGATATGGCACCAGAGATTTAGAGACTTTCAACAAAAACCTCTGGACGTGTCCAAATGTGTTAAATTCGAATTTACTCTTCTCTTAGACAATGACGAGACTTCTTTTGATTGTTGAGAACCAAAAATGTTTACTGCACCAAAGCTCACTTTTTGTAAAAAAAATCTTGAAAATTTCTATCCTCCATTTTTTTACGTCGACGATACGCGCGCACACACACTCACACAAATATTTTCCTGTCACAATGAGACCAAAATATCTATTCAGATGTTTTTCAATCTATTTTATTCTCGATGATGTGGTGTCTGTTTGCATTAGAACTCACATTTTGAACAACGGTCATTCATATTGCCACACGTAGGAATTTTGATGATTATTACTGTGTCTTCCATTCGTTGTATATATACGTCTTAGTTCAGACGTCTTACTCAATTACATTCATTTTGGCAATAATGTGAGAGAAAAATTCAGGAAAATTTATCCAATTCAGGAAAAGGTATTTTTAATGACTGCTCAATCAATCTCTATCACATTTAAATCTAATGTCACTTCTTCGAAAATCGTAGTATAAGTAGTATGTCTTTGGGAAATATGTATACGTTGAAAAATTACCGGAAGTAATTCAATCCGTCGCTAAAACAAAACGACTTCAAATAAAAAGCCAATACTGTTCCATTCACACTTTTCTTGAAACGACAAGCTAACTTGCATGCGAACATTCAAACTAACACTTAGCGCATGTTTTGCTTATAATATTTTAGTTTACTTTAATTGCATGTTTCTAGAATGCATTGCCACTTGCTTTGAAATGTTTGATTTGTATTTTCCAGTCTTTCAAAATGTTATTTCACTCTGTCTCTGCGTATATTTATCGGCGAATGTATTCTAGAACATCTTAAATTGATGTTTATGCTTGAATATTATAAACTAAAGTTTTACGGATGTATATAGCATGATGTGCTTTTAGTTACATTTGATCAACAGACTAAGAATGCATATATTTTAAGTAGTTGAAGTGACGCAAACCTTTAAGGTAATTCTTAATATCTCATCAATCCTTTTCGCACAGTAAGTATTTTTGGGAAGTATATCCATACAGTTCCATAGAGATTGAAGGAAATTATTTTAAAATAGTTCAAATTTACCTCGATTATTAATTTCACTATTATATATTTTAAATTAACATCTACACTCTCAAAATAGGTTTTTTATTTGACCTTGACAACAAGTAGTGGTTACCAAGAGTCTAAAATCAGGAAAAAGTATTCTTAAAATAATTCAGAATTTTTGAGAGATTTCTGTATTTACTTGCATGAAATGAAATAGTAAATCGTTGATATGAGGTAAAAAACAAATTGTTTTTTGTCAAATTGAAGCAAGAAATTAAAGCTTTGGTAACTTCTTTTTGCACGGAGAAAGAATACTTCATTCTTTGTACCAAATAATTGGCCGAGATATATGTAGTGCAATATTTTTCGAACATGATAGTATGACATGTTGTTCGCTGAACATACTGATTTTCACCGAGCACTGATAAAAATTTTGGGGTGAGATTCTGTGTCGGCGTCTATATAGCGCCCAAAAATAGCAAGTGGTATGAATGCGAGGTGGAATCTATTCTGTTTATGAAGTGACTTACACTATCACGGAGTGGAAATAACTCTTTTTGCGGAGTGTCATAAGCTTTGATGGTACCAATTTTATCTCACATTCATATCACTCTAGATTTTGGGGTGCTATATAGACTTCAGGACAGAATTCCACTCCAAAATTTTTAACAGCGAACAGGCTTCGGCAATCATGTCTGCGGAAAATCTGCTCGCAAGTGCTCGTCAAAAGTGCCACGATCCAGTGGCGAGTCGTGAATAATCGATTATCGATATTTCTCTATTTGAAGCTATGGTAAAGAATCGATTGTTAAGGTGTTCGTTGTGAACACCCTGTCGCACCTTTTCCCATAGGTTCGAATGGCAGATCGATCGATACATCGCAAAGCACGCCACGATTGCCATTTCTTACGTCCCAACGCACAGTGGATTGAGTCAATCAGAGTGGTCGGACGTGCAATTTTTCACTAAAACTGCAAATTTTGATATTTAATTTGTCACATTTTGAATTCTAAGGGGTAATTCTGAAAAGTTTCACGAGGAAACCTATGGAACCACTTACAAAATCTAAAAGTTTTGTTTAAACGTAGTTATAAGCGTTTAAAGTTTCCAGATTTTGTCCGACCTCTCACTGAAAAAAATGGTATGCTATTTTAGCACGTACGATGTCAAAAATATGTCTGGTGATCCTAACTTGCTGCCTTGATTGCCCACGCAGTTGAATATGCATTCACAGAATGTAAAGTTAACTGCGAGGGCAGTAAAGGCAGCATCTTGGGATCACCAGACACATTTTTGACATCCTAGATGCTGCAACAGCATATTATTTTTTTCAGTGCTCCTATTGACTCGATCCACTGTGCGACGGTGTATCTTTTCCCCGTGCGAAAGGAAGATGTAGAGGGCTTTGAGCTTGGATGCGGGGATTGCGGGGGGCGGATGTCTATGAGTGTTGCGTGTTTCGTGTCGGTCTTTGCTAATTGATTGCGGGTTGTGCTCACCAGAGCCTAGGAAAGTGATGCCGATCCTCAAGACTGACGAACCGGTCTGCCCGGAGGGGAAGCTCTCGTGCGGAAACGGAGAGTGCATCGAGAAGGAACTCTTCTGTAACGACAAGCCCGACTGCAAGGACGAGTCAGATGAAAACGCCTGCAGTAAGTTCAAACATCATTATTTGCCCATTTCCTTGCAATACTGTATTTTTGCACGGAAGCACTGGTGGCACGCCGAAAAACAAATTTTTCATGAAAAAGATACATTGAGAATTTGCAGGTGTTTTAAACTGTGTGAATTTTATTTTTACAATGATACTAGTAGGAAAACTCAGTACGAAGATATCCTTGGTTTCTAATTTGAGCAATTATTGCAGGAAATATGACAAAATTAATTAATCTGCTAAAATACATGTGTTTAAATGGAAAAAGCCGCCAGATGACGTCATAAAACGTGCCGTCTCACACGCTTTCTTACTTTTGAATCAATTTTTCTCCAATTTTCCATTTCAGAAAAAAAAATATGAAAAATACTATGTACTCAGCTCATTTGGCACTCTCAGATGAAGCAACACAATTTTTGTTTGCAAATACTCCGTTGAGACGCTTGGAGGAAAAGGCGCATAAGGGCAGTTTTTGAAAAAATTGAGATATTCATGAAATCGACTAAAATCTAGTTTGTAAATACATTCTGTGAAAAATCCGCAACTAAAATCCAAACGAAAAGAAGCGAAGAGTGAGTTCAAATTTCATTGTCGCCATGAGGCTCCATAAAATTTTGAAACTTTAGACAAGTATACCTTAGTAAAGCCCAAGTAATACTATACTGCTGTGCTAAGGAAGAACGCCGTATGAACATCCGAGAGTTGTCAAATCCTTCGATACATGATTTATTTTTGAGAAAACTTATGAATATTTTTCTTTGAAATTTTCAGGGACTTTAAGGAAAATTGCGAACAAAATTATCGGAAAAATTGGAAGAAAAATATTCGTATATTTACGAGGAAATTCGTGTTTTATCAGAGGAAATGTAGCGACACTTGAAGGTTCATACGGCGTTCTTCCTTAGCACGACAGTATAGTAGTCCAGTGTTTGAATGAACAGTTCAAGTTCTAGAAGGAATAAGAATAATGCCTTGGATTGTAAGTTTTTCTTTGTGCTTGTACCACGAGGAAAATGAACGAATTGAGGAGGATCATATGATGTTTTTATTTTATTTTTATTTTAGCCGTGGAGCTGGACCCCAACCGTGCCCCCGACTGCGACCCAACCCAGTGCACATTACCGGACTGTTTCTGCTCTGCCGATGGAACCAGGATCCCTGGAAACATCGAGCCAAACCAGGTAATTAATTAAACTGTCAATTATTTTCGTGCTCATGACCTCTCCTCCCCGCCCGTCACTCGCCACGAGTCTCCATTCGATGTTGTCGGATTGCACGGAAAATAATTCAGTTCCGAAAGTAATTACAGCACACCCACACTGCCGTGCCGAGGAAGAACGCCGTATGAACATTCGAGAGCTGCCAAATTTCCACGGATAAAATGTTTATTTTTCAGGAAAAGTATGAATATTTTTCCTTGAAATTTTTAGACACTTTAGATCAAATTACAAACAAAATTATCGGAGACATTTGAAGAGAAAATATCTTTAACTCTCCTTCGAAATAAACATTTCATCCGAGGGAATTTGGCAACTCTCGCATGTTCATGCGGCGTTTTTCCTCAGCTTGGCAGAGTGGGTTTGTTACCGAATATGAACCGGTTAAGTAATCTCCATTCTTATACAAGGTGTATCTTCAGTATTAATTGTGGAGAACGATTTGAGAGTCGATTGATCAACTGATAATTTCTGGATTTAGGATGTTTCTCTTGAATTTTCAAACATCACACCATGCTGCAGTTTGTCAAGTATCTATAAATTAAATGACCAAGAAATATGTTAAATTCTCGTGGTTTTAAAAGTACGTCTCGGGTGAATATCGCACATCGTTTAGCCTTTTGATTTGCGATTCTCACTCGGGGCGTATACTTTTAAAGTTATTTCAAAATGTTTCCGGGTCAAATTGTATTTATAAATACCTGGCGTACTACATTGTAATGTGATTATTAATTATTTCTCTATATGATACAATACTTATCATCAGTCGCGGAGATGTGAGAGGAAAAATATAACAAGCAGTAATTTCAGGTAAAGTTTTACATAATCTACTGCCAGGCATGGTTTGCAGGTAGCACACAACTCACAACCTTGAATAGATTGCTGCAGGAGGGATGTTGTCTAGCCTACCTTCAAAATTGAAGGCGAAATGTACATCGACGTAATATCTATTAGTCTCATCGTTCCTCCTCTCCTCCTCTAGATTTTCTGCCATGCAGAAGCCACCGCCATTCTACAATTTTAAAAATTTTGGAGTGAAATAATGTACCCGAGTCTATATAGCGAATAAAAACCCCGAGTGATCTATACATCCGGTACAGAATTTACTACCTTTACGGAGTGACTTACACAATTACGGAGCCGAATCTACTCCTCTTTAGGAGTATCCTGCTTTTATGGAGCTAATTTCATTTCGCATTCATATCGCTTGAGGTTTTCGGGTGCTATATAGACACGTGCACCGAATTTCACGCAATTTAATCGTTTTGATTTGTTTGATCATAACATGGACAACATGGCCGTTTTTAGCATGGTGTACATAGAGTCGTAATGTAAGTGAGAGAGCTGGCGCCACTTCTAAGCATTTTCCAGGCCCCGAAGTCCGAGACTTCTGTGTGACGTTGGGTTACTTTTTCGATACATGATCGACTGTTTTCGATACACGGGTACCTTACCTATAGCCATCCGATGTAAACAAAAAAGATAGGAATTACCACGTATTTCACACCGCCATTTTGGATCGAACATGTATCAAAAACCGAAGCTCGGCGCACACCGGGATCGGAACTATTCGAGCAGAACATGGCGCCAGTTTTCTCATTTACATTACGACTCTATGTACTGTATGGTTTTTAGCAGTGACCCCCAGAAAACTGCTCCAGCTACATCATTATCCCTCCGTATCATAGAAATACATATAGTTTCATTTTCGCACAACTGGATGTATTTCTGCCTAACGAAATTATAGACAAGTGGCAAAGATGGGGTGCGCTCCAGAAAGCTGCATATGCATAAGAAACAATGTAAAAGTGGACTTGGTTCTCTTTGGAGAAACGGATAAGCGGGCATTTACATTCTATCAAACGGAACTATGTACCAACCATGAATGCGGCACTCATGAGCCGTGGGCATGTGACAACAGCGTTGTGAATAGGGCTCATAAGTTGATGATTCATGACCGCCACTGCGGCATCTGCCTCGTTGCCGCTGACGTCACTGGCGCTTCATAACTCCCATTCATTCTTATACGGCCCTCGATGAAGGAGCACACCCCTTCTTTTAACGCATGGAAAAAAAAACCTCGTGCGTGGGACCCGAAGTTTAGGTCACATGGATCTCTGAAGTTTTCGGATTGAGCATCTGAACACTTTAAATCTAGCTGTCGAGGTTCGGATTACACATCTGAAGTACTTCGGTTTTCACATCCGAAAAACTTCGGTTCTCACATCCGAAAAACTTCGGTTCTCACACCTGAAGTACTCATTCAGATGCAAGAACTGAAGTTTCAGATGTGATCCGAACCTCGACAGCCAGATCTAAAGTGTTCAGATGCTCAATCTGAAAACTTCAGAGATCCATATGACCTAAACTTCGGGTTCCACGCACGAGGTTTTTTTTCTCCTTGCACTTGTCTCTGATTCCGTTTGGCAGAAATACGTTCAACTTAACAAAGGTCTTTTGGAGAAACATTGCTGATTATGTGTTGCTTGGGGATGTGCAGGTTCCTCAGATGATCACGATCACGTTCAACGGCGCCATCAACGTGGACAACATCGACCTGTACGACGAGATCTTCAACGGTCAGCGTCAGAACCCGAACGGGTGCCAGATCCGCGGAACGTTCTTCATGTCGCACAAGTACTCCAACTACGCCTCCGTCCAGGACCTCCACCGGCGAGGACACGAGATCGCCGTCTTCTCGCTGACGCACAAGGACGACCCCAAGTACTGGACCGGCGGCTCCTACGACGACTGGCTCGCTGAGATGGCTGGCGCCAGGCTCATCATCGAGAGGTTCGCCAACATTTCCGACGGATCCATCATCGGCATGAGAGCCCCATACCTCAGAGTTGGAGGTCAGTTATTTTTACTCTATTTATCCGAAATAACTTTCTCGCGCAGGTCGACTGGTAATTCTAGAGGAGGTCGGGTCCAGAATGAGACTAAGGGAGATCATAGATCAAAAAAAGAGCATTGTTCAAAAGAAATATGCTGGCCAGGTTGGCCTAGCGGTCAGCGCGTCTGACTCTAAGCCAATTGGTCCCGGGTTTGAATCCCGGTAGTGGCGACAAATTTTCACGGATCTGACGAGTGGATCTCCAGAAACAGATTCTACTCGGCCCTTACCCTGAAAATTTGAAAGCCGGAGCATGCATGAATGAGGATGTGCAAAAATGTCCCTGATGTCTACTGACAATAAAATAATCTCTATGCTAAAACTCATGTCTATAGATGGCTGTAAATTACTAAGTTTCTAAATAAACAGGAATAAAAGCCAAATAGACTGTCAAAAACAAATTCTAAAAAAAACCATTATGACGTAACTACCGGAATTCATTTTGCAATTAGAAATTAAAGATTCTGGCTTAAGTGTAAAAACACTATTGTGCATAAGGAGACTAAATGGATGTATTTTTTCTATCAAACGGAACTATGTGCATTAAGACATGAGCCCTGAGACCTGTAAGAATACATGCATAACAGGGCTCACGTCATAATGCACATAGTTCCGTTTGATAGAAATGCGTCCAAATGTACATACAGTTTTTCTACACCGAGCCAGAAATTGTAGGTCAGAACTGCAAAATGTAGAATAGTATGTACAAAAAATGGCGGTGGAAAGGTCGCCAAAAAGGTTCTTGATATATGATATTCATTACAATCTCTTGAGTGAGACGAGCTCTTAAAATCGAACTTTCTATGATATTTCTTCAATGCGTCAGTATCCATTGGTAAATCATTGCTCAAAAACACACGTCTTTTAACCTCTTTGTCCCGATTTCCGGTTGCAGGTAACAAGCAATTCGAGATGATGGCCGACCAATTCTTCGTCTACGACGCCTCGATCACGGCCCCGCTGAACCGAGTGCCGATCTGGCCGTACACGCTCTACTTCCGGATGCCGCACAAGTGCAACGGTAACGCCCAGAACTGCCCCTCGCGGTCGCACCCCGTCTGGGAGATGGTCATGAACGAGCTGGACCGGCGGGACGACCCCACGTTCGACGAGTCCCTTCCCGGGTGTCACATGGTCGACTCCTGCTCCAACATCCAGACCGGCGAGCAGTTCGGCCGCCTCCTCCGACACAACTTCAACCGCCACTTCACGACCAACCGCGCCCCGCTGGGTCTCCACTTCCACGCCTCCTGGCTCAAGAGCAAGAAGGAGTTCAAGGACGAGCTCATCAAGTTCATCGAGGAGATGAACGAGAAGAACGATGTCTACTTCGTCACCATGCTCCAGGTAACTCCCACGACACGGAATCACACCAATTAATGAGGCATCTGGGGGGTCCCAAAAGTACCGGGACTGGTTTTGTAACTTCAAAAGTAAGATAGATACAGACATGATCTTGGTTTCATTTTAAAGATCAACTCAATACCTATCGGTTAAAACCAAGATCAGCTCAATCGGATAAAAATTGACTGAGTTATGGCACTTTGAAATCAATGAGGAAAGTTTACCCCAACGGTTTTTTTAGGAAGATTTTTCGCTATGTAGAACCAAAATCGGCAATCTTCATTCTACCGTGCTGATGAAAAAGCTGCCGTATGAGCTTTCGGTCGTTGCTAAGTATCCTTTGATAAAACAAGAATTTCCTGGTAAACATATGAATATTTGCCTTTCAATTTTTAGATAATTTTGTTCGCAATTTCAACTAAAGTTCCTATAAGTTTCATAGAAAAATATTCATGACATTCATCAAAAATGAACAATTTATCGGAACAAATGTGGCAACTTTCGAATGTTCATATGGCGATGAACGCCCGATTTGTGATGTTTGCAACATCACAAATCGGGTGATGAGGTTTCGTGGTTCAATCATAAATATTTTAATCGCATTTTGCAATAGGGAACTACAATTTCTAGCGCTTACATAAAAACATATATCTGAAAAAAAAAACCAATGGCACATATAACGGCACCAATGGCGTATAATGTTTATAAAATGAGCCGGTAATTGTGATTCCCATTTATAAAACATCTTCCAATTGTTTTCTTTGATCCATGTCTCTCGTTGGGTCGAGTTCGCCTTCAATTAACGTGAAGGCAATATGAGCGACTTGGAAGCACGAATAGTTGCGCGTAGTAGTTTGCCGCTTCTGGATAGATCTGGCAAGGAACACATGAAAAATATCATACCTTTTTTACTCTCACTTACCCCTCGGGTGTTACACGATTTCACTTGATTGTTGTTTTTGATGATGCCAATTTATTTTTCTTTTCAAATTTTAATTTATTTTGTTATTCAACACAAGTCCATAGTCTAAGGGTCATACAAAGCACGGGTAGTTCTGCTAATACAAATCTAATTTACAAAAATTCGCCTAGCAGACTGCACTGAAAAAAATTGTATGCTCTTTTAGCACCTAGGATGTCAAAAATGTGTCTGGTGATCCTCTGATGCTGCCTTCATTGCCCACGCAGTTGAATTAGCATTCTTAGGATGTAAAGTTAACTGCGAGGGCAGTAAAGGCAGCATATCACACCCTGTTCAAAAGTTGGGCCGCACTTTGTAATAAATGACCACTGTTTCTAGATCACTTCAGAAACAACGCATGAGCCATAGGTTTTCATAAGTAGATTGGTTTTTCTAGGAATGAGCAAGCAATAGTAGTATCTTATTGCAAAATGAAGTCAAATGCTTCACCTTACAAAACAAATCTATTGTCGATAACAAAATATCTCAGTCTGGCACTTTTTATTTATGGAAAAACGCGGTAAAAGCCTTTAGAAGTGGCCAATTTTTTTTTTTTGTCAAAATACGAATTTTTAATAAGATCTGTGAATATTTGCTTCAATTCTCAAGAGAGTATTAATGAGTCAGCTCTATATCATCTGAGAATTTCAAAAGAAAATAATCATAACTCTCCTCAATTATAACATTTTACAGGAGGAAATTTGGCAACTCTTGAATGTTCATACGGCGCACAGTGGAACGAGTCTTTGGAAGAAATCGGACAGGAAATGTTTTAAAAAAATTGACAAATTTTATGTTTATCTCGTTACAATTTTAATTTTTAGGAGTGCTACTTATATAAAATTTTACGAGAAAACCAATGAAACCACTTTTAAAACATAAAAATGTCCTATTAATGAAGATACCCGCTTTTAAAGGTTTTAAATAATGTCCGACCTCTCTGATTGACTCGATCCACTGTGCTGCGTTTTTCCTTATTAGCACGGCAGAGCAAGCAGGCGTCAGGAATTCAGCTACTGATAAAAAAATTTCATTTTCAGGTTATCCAGTGGATGCAGAACCCGACTGAAGTGAGTTCCTTGAGAGATTTCCAGGAATGGAAGGAGAAATGTGACGTGAAGGGACAGCCCTACTGCTCCCTGCCCAACCCTTGCCCGCTGACGACGAGAGAGCTTCCAGGAGAGACGATCCGTCTTTTCACGTGCATGGAGTGTCCCAACAACTACCCTTGGATCCTCGACCCAACCGGGGACGGCTTCTCCGCAAAATGAAGAAAATAATATTCCCAAGCTGGAAATCCACCCCGTGTACAGTGTTCGAAAGCATTCTCACCCGCCCCTCACGAGCTATGCACTCTCCTCATCGTTCCCTCCGAAGGGGTTGAAAAAAAAATGAGTCGCTGAATCACGCCAGGGGGTGAATGCTGGTCTATGAAATACCTACCTGGAAAATACTTGTAGGCGTGCGGAATTAGAGATGAAGGATATGATTGGACTTCATTTTGCAACAAAGAACTACAATTTCTGGCTCATACTGGAAAAAAAAACCACATTGAATCTAGAGTCCAGACTCTTAAAAACATCGACAAGAAAAAATACTCTTGATTCAATCGGATTTTTGCTTAAATCAAAACGGAGCCTCTTAATTTGAGCGTATTTCCTTTTGATTTAAGCAAAAATCTGATTGAATCAAGAGTATTTTTTCTTGTCGATGTTTTCAAGAGTCTGGACTCTAGATCCAATGTGTGTTTTTTTTTCAAGTGCACAGATAAAGACACCTATCTGCATAGAAAGACTAATGGCTTGTATGCCGTTTCTAAAATTAGCCAGATAGTATGTGGTTCCTAATTGCAAGGTGTGGTCCAAATATGGATCCTTCGTCGTGTGAGACCAGTGGTCAACCGTATACTTATTTTCTTTTATCTATTTTTCCTCTACAATGTCCATTGTTGCCCCTTTTTTAAACCCTGAAAAGGCTCATCACTAAAACATCTTGCTAATGGTGTCTAAATCGAAACTTGAATTCGCTTGACCGAGCTGCGTATGAATAAGACAAAAATGGAATCAAATTCCTATATTATGAAAACTATCAACTGAATTATTCATATTCGAGTACGATTTTTTGGTAATAATAATCTGGGGAGGGGTCTGAAACTGCATTCCACCATGATGAACAGTTAACCATATTAAATCGTGTTTTTGAAGCGCAGCTGCATACCATGTGCAACTGCAATTAAAGTTACCCCTCCCGGTGTATTCTTCTTTCCTCCTCTACGTCAGATTGTTTGTATTTAAGACACCATTTGATCGAGGAGTATGCATTGAATATTCCGATGGTGTGATCTTCGAACCCTCTGAGCAAAAAACCAATCAAAATTGTTGAACAACAAAACAGAAAATAACTACGGAGAAGCTATTTTCACTTATTTCGCTTGGAGGTATGTGACGAATTTCGGAGGCTTGCCGCAAATATTCTTCATGAGAAAAAATTACTCTCTCAAGGTTAAGTCTTCGCTCTAGGTTTAATGACGAATGAATGTACACTCTTCAGGCGTTTCGGAGAGAGATTTAGAGCGGCATTTGGAATTCACCTTAATGTGGTCTCCCACGGCACAGCCCTAACCGCCAGGCATCATGAATCTTTGTTAAACTTGATAAAGTACCTATTTGTTAGTTTAATCGTTATTTATTTATTGTTACGAGTTTATCTTTATTCCCCGAGAAAGGAAAATCTATTTAAATTTGTTTCTGTTTTTCTCTCAATTATGATTTCTTGGAATTTATCCTCTAACTTATCCCCTCCATGAAAACTTGGAACTTTATTTTTCTTTTTTCTCTGTTCACCTTGTCCTCGTTTTCATTTCTTCGCCTTTAATTCAACTTTACAAGTTTTGGTTTAAGTAACTATAAATTGTGTGACTGTAAATAAATGCAAATAGGTTAAGTTAGTAATGTATGAAATTTCCAATGTGATATTAATGAATATAAGTTCACCATAAAGGTAACTTCATTCAAAATTTAACATTAAAGGTGCTTCATCACCTCATTTCTTGTTAATAACGTCGTAATGCGTTACTGACACAATAATGTTAAAATATGAGGCTATTTTAAAGATATCGTTGAGATAAAACTCAAAGACAGAATTACATAATTTGATTTGCTGTTTTTTACGAAATAAAAAAAATGGGAAAGGTATGTGTATCTTTACCCTTCAAATTTTCGTTTTTTGAGTTCGCACCTACTCTTTCACTCTGTTCAGACAATAAAATGCAAATTTTGAAAATTAGAAATTGTAAATTAATGTTTAATAACTAGAATTGTATTATGAGAAGACACGTGAAGAAATTTAAGTAATTAAAACTAGGAATTACGAAAGTAATTTGCCGGGATTTTGCAATCAAGTTTACAAAACTCTTCTCAGTTTTGTCGACATCAGAGAAGTTCAAAACTTTAAAATGTAAAAAAAAAGTGTCAGTGGTTCATTTGACATGCATGAGTTTATAGCTCTTTACAATATTTTATGTGTAAATTCTTACTCACTCAAAAATGTTTTTTGTAAGTACCATTCACTTTAAGCTTAGATTTAGATCATCAATTGAAAATAAAATTTTATATAAAATTACTTCGCCTTTTAATGTTAATATTTCTCTAACCTTCATTAAATGTCAACAATAACATTGTAGATAATTTAATCGACTATTATTGCTATTAATTTTCTTAAAAACTAATATATGGTGACATTTGATTCACCATAAAATAAACGCCCCTTAATATTTAGAAATGTCCCGGATTTTTAAATGAGGCGAGAATTTTAAAATTTTGCCATCTTTCAGCCCGAATATTTTTTCAGCAAATGATACACAAAAATGAAACAATAGTCCTAAATGAAAACAAGTTGGTTTTTGCAATCGCTAGCGATAGCAATATTCGTCATGGGAACTTTTGCTTCTGGGATATGAAAATTTTAAGGTACAGTTCGTTTGTAGTATCTTCAGAATTGAAGGGGCTATGTAATTTTGTGTCGACATCTCTTTTTTAACATTTTTAATTTTTTTTCTTTGCATACAAGAAAGCTGTTATTTACCAATTAT